GAAGTAGGGATGACGAAACATACACGAACTAGACACGTGAATACGTCGTGGCAGCTGTGCTTGGCGCCATTTCATGACGTCAGTCAGTGCGCCGTGGTATATTTAAAGGTAAATAAATAATTTCTATTCCAAATTACTTCGCAGACAGGTGGAAAGAAGCTGTTTTATAGTCGAGATTTTGTAACTTGAGTGAAGAGAAGCCAGCAAAAAATATAGTTTACAAGAGTTGCATTTTACTCGTATAATTATCTTTCATGTAACAGGCGCGAAATGTTGAATCAAACACTCGATTTCGTGAGGAAGTTGCATTTTACTCGTATAATTATCTTTCATGTAACAGGCGCGAAATGTTGAATCAAACACTCGATTTCGTGAGGAAACAAGCACGAATGTCTACTGCGCTAGGATAACGTTAAAAACATAGTTTAGTTCTTGTGGTTGACAAAATGAACCAGTTATACATGTATGACTTGAAGCCTAAAAGATAAATGTCAGGAGTTCAGACTTTTATTCATTTCCTCATTGTTTTTACTTCCGGTGATACGACACTCACAAACGATGATTATTTGATAATATAAGATGTGTTGACGGAAAATTTCACCGGAAGAATACTGTCCCTTCTATAGTTTACAATATATACGGATATTTACGGTGAAACAAACAAAAAGCCTCACACTTAACGCTGAGCCACCAGGGGTGGGGCAAGAAAATGTAAGACACTACTGGTAAAATGTATCAAAGCATATTGGTTAGTATTTGTTTGAAGTTAGGCACAAAGCTACACAATGGGCTATCTGTGCTCTGCCCGTCACGAGTATCGAAACCCGGTTTTTTCAAAAACAACCTTCCCAAAAGGTATATCACGGCGTCTATCAATTTTCCTTGGCCTTACGAGGTGGCGGTTATTTATGAGATCTCCCATCATGCAACAAGTAGTCGAGTGGAAGAATTCAGATTTCAATTATCAAAAACACGAACAATTGTATAGTCAAAAAAGTACAAAATCTCAAAGTAATAAATAATAATTGAGAGGCTTTGATTAAACTCTTCGAAAAAAATCTAAGGCATATAAAAACAAATGCATAAGACAATTTCACACTATTCTTAGATTATATACCCTCTGGTATGAATACAATAAGATTTATCAAAATCTTGTCACATGACTTCATATATTTAATGGGCAATCCACTAATGAAATGTAAGATGGCTATATCTGGGCAACTTGTTATACAAATGAAAGATGGATGTACCTGGACAACTGGTGTGTTAGTCAGTACTGTTTTGAAACTGACTAACCGTAAAGAGCAGTGCCGTTTATTTAATTCAACTCTAATAATAATAGTCGATCAATAATTGATACTTCAACAGAAAACTTAATAGAAGCCTTAGCAGTTTTGTAGAAAGTGTAATTACAATAAATACGCACACAGAAGCTTAACAACTACGATAGCTTTTTTTTTCTATTCGCGATAGAAATGGAAAATGATTTCGTTATTTCTAGGCGGTAATTGGAGAAGAACTTGGGTGGTATTTTGAAAAGCACAAACAAAATAAACTTGATAAACTAAGTCCAAACTAAAGAAAACAACGGAAGACTAAACCGAACAGTACAACTGTTTCTGAATTAATGGTTACAGAATGATAACAAGAACAAAAATAAATAGAATATTGATTATTTTCGATGCACGATAACTTAAAAATGATACCTTTTACAAGAATAACATTTAAAATAAATAATACATTAACTGATGTGATTTTTTTATCAGAATGAAATGTTTACTAAAATATTGTTACGACAGCAGAAGTCAAGTGACGCTAGTAACACGTCATGAGATTCTACAAGGATCATGACTTTCGTGGCAACTCTAGTCTTTTCTAGGCGCCCTCTATTTTAGTATACAAGCCCGGCAAATAAAGCGAAGATATAATTGCAGATAGAGATATATAGAGACAGATAATCGAGTCAAGTGAGCGGTAGTGACTGTAACTTAAATGCGTGAATCGTTGTGAATTATAGTGTGTGTTTAAGTTAAAGTGACTGTGGAAAATAAGTGTATTGCAAAGTTGTACCGAGAAAAAATAAACTAGTTTTATTTAAGAAAGGGCTTGTATCGCTGAAGTTCTTCGGAAAGAATTTTTACGGGAAATTAACAAACCACCAGAGACGTAACAATATCAAATGTACAGTGCACCAGTTAAGTTGGCAATGCACTAGAGTGAATAAAAAACAAAGACTAGCTTATTGGTTTACCAGTTCTTCTGAATGGCGAGTAAAAAGTTAATTCAAGTAAAAATAAATAAATGAATGTTAATAAAAAAATATAAATATAATTCTGGTTTACCAGATTTTCTGAATGATAAGTAAAAAGTTAATTCAAGTAAAAATAAATAAACGAATGATATTAATAATAAATAATTTCATGTTAAAATAAATGAATGTTAATAAAAAAATCATAAATATAATTCTAGTTTGTAAAGACTGTAAATACTAATAATATTTACAATTCACAAATGTAACTTAGTTCACATAATAACAGCTGTTGTTCTAGCAGTTGGTCACATAATGTTGTAAAGTACCAATTTTTATTTATGATTTTATTTATCATTATGTATTTACCTTCTATATTTTGATTCAGCTATATTTATATAATTACTTTAAACGTTAGCGCACTTCTAGACAGGAACGTAGCCAGCATGTGTGTGTGAGAGGGGCTTAAAAAAAAGTGAATATTTTCTTCTACACAAAAGTTTAAGTAATTTACATGAAAGCCAAATGTTTATTTAAACAACAAACAGACAAACAAAAAACAATCAGAAGATAGTGGTACTTTTAGTCTTTTTGTAGAATACTGGGGTGGTCGTTTGTCACAGACCCCGGGCTACATCCATATCCTGGTAAACATTAAGTATTAAAGACTTTGTTTTTATATTAAAACTCCAACACGAACCCCAGTGGCTCAGCGGTAAGTCTGAAGGCTTATAAAGCTAAAAACCGGGTTTCTATACCCATTGTGTAGCCTTGTGATTAACTACGAACAAATATACACCAACACGATGTTTCCTTACTGGTGGCGTTTGGATACTAGGTTCACGATAATTATGTAAGACAAATGCTAAATAGTTAGTCATGTGACATGTAATCTCGTGATCTGGAAAGGCTAGGTTAGATTTGTGAAACTGATCTGTAAGATATTTTATTATTTCAAGTACTGGCTTGCTCTTTTATTTGTCATTTAATCTTGTTTCTTTGAGAAGTGTCTAATATTATTATGTGTTACGAATCAGCTTTTCTTCTTTTTTGTTGCCACGGACACACGTCTTTCTAAAGAGTACTGACCTGTAAGTTTGGAATTCTGTATCACCATGAAGAAGGAGTATTCCTCTTCTAACTACCCTAACTTTATCCGTTACCAGTTTCATATATGTAATGATATAGTAAATATATATATATATATACTTACTATGTATTTGAAAAAGAACCTGGCACTAGAGGAGGTGTTAATTTATAAAAATTGCAGTCTGTCCTTTCGTTATTTATTATGTATCTAAAAATGAACCTGGCACTAGAAGAGGTGTTAATTTATAAACGTTGCAGTGAAAGAGTTAACAGGTTAAAACTAGAAAACGAAACAAATAATTTTGGCCAGATATAGAGTGGTGACAAATAACAGAATGCTATTAGTCTTTAATGTCAATATCTAATGTGATTTTATTATTATTAAATAGAGACCAGTGTTTCTTTATTTAAGTACAAAGCTACACGATGGGTTATATGCGCTATGTTCGCCGCAGGAATAGAGCCCCGAATTTTAGCGTCAAGATCCCTCATGCTTATTGCCAAGCCGCCGGTAGAGTTCGTTTGTTTGTTTTTAATTATACACAAAGCTACACAAGAGCTATCTGTGCTCTGCCCACCTCGGGTATAGAAACCCGGTTTCTAGCGTTGTAAGTCCGCAGACATATCGCTGTGCCACTGGGGTACCACCGGTAGAGACTTGAAAAAAAAAGCTTAAAACGTAAAGTAATAAATACCAGATCTTTATTTTTCAGAAAAAAAAATCCTAAAATGGAGAATGATATATTAATTTTATTCCAGTCATAAAAGCCACTACTATGATACTATCATTTAGAAAAATAAAATAACTTGCTCATTAATCCAGATCGTAAGTAAAATATGGTTTGATATTTGGTAATCACTTCCTACCAGAATAAAAATCAAATAATTGTTTATCGAATAGAAAACAGAACTGTTTCGGTTTCTATCTAAGAATTTGTTTGTCTTATTTCACCAACTATAAAATCTACACCCTGGTAACAGAAGTACTTTCATCTTGTAGCGTGAGTTTACTAAAGAACCCTACATTTTGACAGTGTGTGGGGAAGCACGTGGACATAAAGAGTGGTTGCCCGGTTCTGCTTAGAAATCCTATGCGTATTTTTAATTGGTGTTTTGATTTGCTAATGTAGGTGGCTTTGAAGTCTATATCGGCAAAACAAAACGATAGTTAAAAATACGTGACTATGAACATACAGAAATTTCAAGTAGAACCATGTGCTTCCCGCATACACATCATCAAATTATTAAGCACCATTTATCTACCCTAGTTCTGTAGTTACTTCCAGATCAGTCTATGAATCGGATATTTTATAATAGTGCCCAGAATATGTAGCAAAACAACAACAAAAAAACATGGACTGTGTGTTCCCAAGCCATCAAAGATGCGAGAAGATGAGGTCCTTTAAGATCTGTGTAGAGGTATGGATCTCTAATACATAATTAATAACGTTTCAAGCTATGCCTATAGAGTAAACAGTTTATGTAATTTTTTCTAATGCACAAAAATGCCAAACAATGGTACTTAGTAGAAATTATTAAGTTGCGTTAAAGCCTGATGGCCGAAACAGTATATACAATAGATTTTTTTTGGGGGGGGGGGCTTAAGTGTCCAAAATTGTCAAAAACACTACTCTTTGCATCACCGTTGTGAAATTCTACCCACCTTTTGATACTTTCTTCAGTATGCATTCTTTGTGATCGTCGTTGTTGGGTTTGCTAACAATGATCAGCAAATGGCCGCCTGGAAGTGAGTTTTCTGCCGTATTTGACTCCATAGTTAACATGGCCCGAGCTCCGGACTCGCCCAGCGTTCGAATGAGACATGCATGTGTTGATAGAAGCAGAACTGCTGCAGTGGCCTGTCACGTGACTATACAATTGGTTGTTGTCGTTCGTTCTTTTATAGAGTTGGTTACTATAGTAACCGTCACTTTCTAGTCTCGGCCAGGTGAAACGCATTCAATAAGCCAGTCACCGCGACCTCGGAAGTACTCGACGATCTTCCTGTGTTGTACTATACCACATTGTCATACTTCGTTGATTGGTGCAAGTATCGGTTATTCCAGCTTGCTTGTGAAATATATTCTAATTCTGTGTAAAAACAAGAACATTCTTAATCTCTTGTTCTGTCGAGGTAAAGAGTTCGGTTTAATGTTGTATCGCGTTTTCATACTTGTATTTTTTAAAAGTATTTCCCCTGACTGTGTCATATCGGTTTCTATCACAGGTGTACGCTATTATTTTAGCCTAGGTACCACCACGTGGGTGCCCACGTGTCACGTCTATCAAACGCACTCGAAACTATTGTTGCATAAAATCTAATCATCGAAGTGTAGATATGATAGTTATGGTTTTCCTTAAAATTCCCTATTTTGCGTTATGGTTTCTGAAGTAAATAAAAAATAAATTACCTTTTACAAGGTGGATTTTACTTTACCTCTCTTCGTATTTGAATACAGCATCAAAGGATAATTTATTCTGTTGGTTACAGGCTGCTAATTTAATCAAAATGTAAGTGAACCAAAGTTACTCATACAGAAGCGAACATCCTGTATGGTTTTTTTTTTTTTAAAAGATAATACAATTACTGGGAAAGTGTTGAGGACGAATCTGTATTCGGAACAAAATGCACGTTTATGTTAATTACAAATGGTGATCAAACTACCAATGAATTTTAATTACTTATTTGATAAAATATAAGTATTATACCACAAATACAGATACACAACATTACGATATATGGTAAAGTATAATAGGCCTTACTGTATTTCTGTGGTTTGTTCACCCAAACGGTGCTGATGAGCAGGGCCGGATTAAGGTCAACTGATGCCCTAAGCACAGCCCAACAATGGTTCCCTCTCAACCCTTCCATTGTCTAACTGACAAGACATTAAGACTCAATAAGTGCTGAATGTGAAATAATAGATTAAAAATTCAGTTTTCTTCCAGGCCAGACCCCACAACTATATTAAATATAACATGTTTTTTAATTTTATTTAGTTAACACTAAATAGCAGTAAGCAATATAAGAAAATTATTTACTTATAACTAGAACAATAGGAAAAAATGCAAATTTTCAACACTTTTAATTC